GTGTCAATATTGAGGAAAAGATCAAGGTATGAAGCAGTCCTTCTAGTATCAGTAGTATTCTTAATTTCAAGTTCACTGGGATATATGAGATGTAAGTACTGACTGAAATATGGGTTATTCAGTGATAGGACATCATCAATATATCTGAAAGTAAAATTAAAGAATTTCGCAAAGTGCTTTTTTTCTTTCTGTCTAGAAGGTTCTGAATGAACTCTGCTTCATACGAGTACAGAAACAAATCGGCCATTAGGGGTGCACAATTAGTACCCATTGGAATACCGACTGTCTGTTGAAATATCAATCCTCCAAACTCAACAAATATAGTGTCGACCAAAAAATCCAGCATTTTGATAATATCATCTTCAGTGTATTTTCTGATAGAATCGGTATGGTTATTCACAAAATAAGAATTATTATAACCCAAAACAAGAAATTTATATCTACGATTCCCATTTTTATAGAAAAAGCTCTGTTTAATGAGATGGTGAAGTCAATGTTTCAATTGAGCATGGGGAATAGTAGTGTAAAGCGTAGAAAAATCAAAAGTCTTAATGTTGGTGCAAAATTGCAGAGATTGTGATCTAAGATTTAGCAGTAGATCTTTAGAATTTTTAAGAATCCACACCTGATTGACACCACTGGTTGAATATATCTCATAACAATATTTTTGAAGGCCATCTTTAACCGTAGAAAGAATAGTAGTCCGCACTTAAGAAAGATGTTTAGTCGAACATCTTGATGATCCAGCTATGTATCGTTCTTTATAAGGAGTTTTGTGAAGAACTCATCCAATGGTTTTTTCCGTCATTTAGAAATTTTGTTGATCTTGTATTCTTCATCAATTTTGCTATGAAGAGTTTCTACCTATCCATTTAAGTCTACGAGAAAATAGGCAAAAACTAAACAAATAGCCAAAAATCGTCATTTTAGAGCAATAACTCATATTATGAGTCATCCAAGGGTTCTGGTCATATAATCATTGTTGTAGATTCTTTATTGATTATTATTTCTGCTGTTTACAGTTTTTTACCAATCTTAAAGTTTGGATATAATATTCAAAAGCACAAAATTTAGTCAAAAACTTTCTTCTAAGGGCAATATCTCCTATAAGGAGTCACTTGATGATTTTGGTGAGAATGAAAGAAGTTAGATCTTGACAGCATTTTTGTCCGGTCAGATTGTCTCTATCTATTAAATTTTTCAAGGTAAACGACAATAAACGCATTTCCCCCTTTTTTGTCCTTGTATATTTTTAACCTTTACTGTTTATCCATTTTTGATTATATACTTATGACGTGGATCGATACTTATACATCCCGCCATTGTGCTATGGTCAATTTTGAGTTCTTGTCTTTCATTTTGCTTATTTATTTTGTCTATATGCCATTTTGTGTTTCTTTGTTGAAACAGTTATTTGTTTTTATAGTGATTAAGATTATATTACAATGTTGACTGCTGTACCCCAATTTTTGACGTTTTTACCTATTATGTCTGTTTGTTTTGCTCACACATTGTTGTCAATATAATGGAATTCTATGCGACTGTCATACAAGTGAGAGGTTTAGCTAGCTATAAAACCAGGTTTAATCCACCATTTTCTACATAAGGAAATGCCTGTATCAAGTCAGGAATATGACAGTTGTTTTCCATTCGTTGATGTGTTTGAGCTTTTGATTTTGCCATTTTATAAAGGACTTTCCGTTTTGAATTTCCCTTGGAGTTCGGTAATTTTGTTATTTTAAACTTTATACTAAATACCCTAAGAATAATTTATCTTTGAAGATCTTTAAAAAAAATACAACGATGCAAGACGACGACAGGCGACGGTCGACGACGACGTCAGACGCCAAGTGATTGCAGTAGCTCACATAAGCCCTCTGACGAGATAAACCAAAAAAGGAACAAATTTCTTCATTTTCGTTGCGATTTTTTCAAGCAAGGAGAGTATAACTGATTTCTGAAATAATGAAAGTATATAGTCATGAAAATCAAAATATCAAAAACAGCATACTTACAAATACAAATCAACAGATACAATGTAAAAAATGATGTGTTCGGTGATACCTTCATCGCTGCACTTATGCGCGTGACTACACAGTAGATCATAGACAGTAAAATTACATAACAATCAAAACCTTATCATTAAACTGACCTTCGTCGCTTTTGAAATGCACGGAATCACACTACTTTGATGATAGCATAACACATTGATCCTTAATTGTGAACTTCAAAAGGAAAATACATGAACTTTTTCCTAACAATATTTCCATTTAACTTATTATACTAAACCAATAGGCGTAGATAGGATGGACCCCCCCTCCCCCCAAAAAAAAATTATAAACTTTATTACTAATCGTAAAATCTGCAAGATATTTTCAATTCTTATTTTAAATTCTTATTTCTATTTCATCTTTCCTATAGATTGCATTAAAACCCCAGATACATGCATGCTTTTATATAAACGCCAACAATTCTAATTTTTAAAATGCTTCCATGTCTAAAAGAAGTTTATATTTCCGTATTTGTGACATCTTAAACATTCTCCATTGCAAAAGGAAACAATTATGATCATTTATGAAAATGTTATTATATATGAAATTAGGCAAACAGCTTTCAATAGGTTTTTTGTGTTTCGTACCGATTTATTGAGTTGCGCTAATTGCAACTGATATTTATAGTTGGGTTTAATGTTGTGCTGTTAAACCATTGTCCCAGAATAGGGGGTGGGGGTGTTTAATCGTTTACAAACATGTTTAACCGTACGGCATTCAACAATGAGAAAAATCCAAACCTTATAGTCGGCTATAAAAGGCCCCAGTATGAAACAATTCAAACGAGAAAATAAACGGCCTAATTTATAACAATACATTTACGAACAACGACATCCACTGAACTACAGGCTCATGACTTGTAAAATCTACTACCTTTTGTGAAATACAGACATAAAGCGACACATAAAACGACATATTTAGGAAAAGTCATACAAGGCATTAATTCACTTTATTAATATATTGATGATTAACAAAATAGATATAAGATTAATGCGTGATTTGAAACCCCTTATCCCATACATAATTCAATAAGACCATTATTATTTTACCTTGTTCGTCCTTTGTGAATTGTGCCTGCGTTTTCACTCATTACAACACTAATTCACAATTTATAGTGGACACAAAAAGACCAAGACAAATTTCACCCATTGCATTCGATACAATATATAAAGGAATGATTTACTTTCAGTGCGCACGGCGTATGTTTCTATATAACCTTTATCACGAATGCACGGATAGTGTTTCTGTAATAACCTTTATCACGAATGCACCGCCTTTTTTTCTGTAATTACCTTTATCACGAATTCACGGCGTGTGTTTCTTTAATAACCTCTATCACCAATGCACGGCATGTGTTTCGGTTATAACCTCCATCACGAATGCACGGCGTGTGTTTCTGTAATAACCTTTATCACGAATTCACGACGTGTGTTTCTTTAATAACCTCTATCACGAATGCACGGCATGTGTTTCTGTTATAACCTCTATCACGAATGCACGGCATGTGTTTCTGTTATAAACTTTATCACGAATGCACGGCATGTGTTTCTGTAATAACATTTATCACGAATGCACGGCGTGTTTTTCTTTTATAACCTCTATCACGAATTCACGGCGTGTTTCTGTAATAACCTATATCACGAATTCACGGCGTATGTTTTATATCACTGTCATATAAAATATTGTGTTGCACATATTGAGTCTAGATGGACATCACTGCTATTAAAGTTTTAAATATCTACAACTGAGCACTAAGGTAGAATAGAAAAGAATGATCGTTTTATAAAACAATACTTTACCACAAAGAGGGGATAAATATTGAGACAAATGTCTTAATGTTTTCGAAAAGAAGATCGCCGAGTTTGTTGTTGGTGGTTTTTTTTTATGGATTTCTGTAGCTTAATTATTGCCATTCTAATTAGCTATGTAAGAATTTTGTACATGTTAAAAAAATGAAGTGCACGTTTCATCAACTAGTTAACTTTGATCATGCGAGCTCCCCTCTATGCCAAAAAAACTAGTGTTTTTGTTTTGAAACTAAGGGGAAATTAGGACTAGACATCATAAATATCTTTCTTTATCAATTTATAGTATGCCAATCTTTTTGTTTTAGCAAAAAATATGAAACAATTGTTTTTTTGTATATTGATTCAAGCAGACAAATAGGATTATTCGCCTACTGCATTTATACTGTAATTATACATGGTGTTTAAAGGACTTTCAAGACTAATCCTCTAACGATATCGACCGAGATTGAACTTTGAAAAGAAAGGTTGAATGTATTTTAAAGCTCTATGCCAGTGTAAGTAAACTGATCATAGATACCAGGATTAAAATTTTGTACGCCAGACGCGCGTTTCTTCTACAAAAGACTCATTAGTGACGATCGAATCAAAAAAGTTAAAAAGGCCAATTACAGTACGAAGTTGAAGAATATAGTCCAAAAGGTTTTTTAAAATAAAGCAAACTTAATCTATTTCTGGGTAGAAAATCCGTTGTATTTCGAAAAAAAATCAGGGAAAAAGAGAGGCGAAAGATACAAAAGGAATAAACAAACTCATCATTCGATAACAAACTGTCAATGACATGGCAAAAACGATAAACGACGAAAAGACAAACAACAGCACACAAAACACAACATAGAAAACTAAAGACTGTAAACATGTTCATATCCCCTGCACATTTGCTTTTATATGAAGGAACTACGTTTGAGAAAGACACGAACTTAATAACTCAGGTAAAAATTAAACTTAAAAAGGTCATAGCGCGGTAAACAGCAATAGAAAACAGTCCAATTAATAAAGGTAAATGAAGTTTGTGTGTAAAGGGTTATTTATATAAGAGTGTGGATACTCAACGGTTTGACTGCGGTAGATCGCCTTCTAGTCATTCAGGCATGAAAAGGGATTATTTCCCTTACAACATGCTTGTAATCAGACAACAACTAGATAATATAAGCTGTTTTATTTGCAATAAATAAATATCCTAAATGATAACACTATTTACAATGATTATACTATAATTATAATTTATGCAAAACACACTCCAAACCATTCTGTACATCTTAATACTGTTCCCGGTAAAAGCATGGTGAATCTGCAACTCTGCAGATTCGATCCATACTCAATTTGATTGGTCACACACACTCAAAATGATGTATTAATACCACTCATGTGCATGCATAACCTAAACTATTGTGAATTATTTACAACGCTTTAAATTAAATACAACAATTAATAAATAATAAAATTCTTGAAAAAGAACAAAATAACTACAAATACAATTAAGATAAGACTAGACAAAAAGTGTAAATAGAAACTTAACAGTACAAGTTTTAGAAAGCCATCTTGGATGGTCTAATGATTGCACCAATGAAAACTAATGAAAGAAATAACATACAAAAGCTTCAACAATTATTCATCATACAGGCAGCAAAATTATACAATTCTATTTTATTTATTTTTTGTTCTTACCATTTCAGTATCATCGTTTACAGATGTGCATGATGAAATACTATTCATCCTTTTGAAATTTAAAAGGCTTGTGTTGCTCTAAAAAAAACATTTTGCATTCAGCTTTTTGAATCAATACTCTACATCAAATTTGTATATAGTAGTAATTTCTGTAGCTCACTTCTCGAAAAACGAAATTATGAAATGCTGAACTTCGGCGACTGGTCCGAAGTAGATTTTGAATCATTTATTTTCATTACAAATCTTCTTTTTAGAAGACAAATCAACATAGGTATTTGATATGTGTCTTTTTATAACTTTGCAAAACGAGAATAAAACAAAAAGTATCTGCGTCACACTGACACTCTCCATACATACTGTTCAATAAACTAGAAGAAAATGGACGGATTATTTGAAAGACTTTTGTGGTTAAACACCATATTGGTACTTCTTAGTATATACATAATTTATAAACACGCATTGAGCATTTTTTGCCTTCTCATACATGGCAGTTTGGTACATGATTGTTGATATTTTAAATAAGACCTAATTTGCATAGTTTTATGCAGTTACCAGTAGCAATTTTAATATCACTATTATTGTTTTGTACTTCTGAAAAATTCTAAAATATCTGATACGTTAATTTAAAAAAATATCTTTACTTTTCAACAAATTTAGTGTTTCCCGGAAGGACAATATGCCTACACTTTGGAAAATGCCCTTAAAGTAAATGATAATTTGATAAGTTTTGGTACTTAGCTCTACAAAAATGCAGTTTTACAACAATATTTAATTAGGCATGATAACTAAGAGTCGTATAAAAACAGTGGTTTTTGATTTTGCAATAAATTATTGATTAACGTTCTAAATTTCATGCGGAGTTCCATAACGTAGTCCATTTCTTGAGTTTCCATTCTTTTTTGCAGCAAAAAGCTTTCGTTTCCCCGATCGCTCAGAAACCCAATCAGGGTGTATTATAAAGTGGCCTGTACATGATGGCTGTGTAGTCTAAAATAAGTTATGTATTTAATATTAGTAAAACATGAGTAATAATTCAGACTATACATCATATAACAAACCTTAAGTTCAGTTATCATATAACAAACCTAAACATCAGTTGTATGAAAGTTATAAAAATGTTTCCTAATTCGATAGTTTTGATTGGATCATGATTAATGGTATTTTTCCCAATCATTTTGGTATATTTTTTACATATATATAAACTCATCAAAGATACCAGGCATATAACTTTTTACGCCAGACGCACATTTCGTCTACACAAGACTCATCAGTGACGCTCGAATAAAAACAAAGTTTAAATGTCAAATCGAGTACGAAGATGAAGAGCATTGAGGGTCTAAAACTTCCGGAGGGTTTTGCCAAATACAGCTAATGTAATCTATTCCTAGTGGTAGAAAATTCTTATTTTTTCGAACAATTCAAAGTTTTGTAAATTGTTTTTTTTTTATAAATATGACCATAAGTATAAACAATGTGATTTGGATATTTTATGACGGTTGTATTATTCTGTTTTCTTAAGAACAAGTAAGTGATACCTTTGTTTTCATTTATACAAGACTATGTTATATGCATATATAAATAAAAAGACGTACTGTGAGCTTACTAATTATACCTCCACAGTTGTTGAGACTATTTTGTAGTAAATAAGGGATAAGGACAGGTGGACGTACGGATGGACAGGGGTAAACTAGTATACCTTTCTTTTCAAGAGTATAATTACTAAATAATTGTCATAGAATAGTTTATTTCTTACCATAAACATGCTTCTTTCGTGAACATAATCCTCCCCACTTGGATAACGTATTGTTCTACGTTGTCTTGGTTGAAGGTCAGTTTTACTTCTCTGTAATCCTGGTATCTGAGGGAACTGTGGAACACTAAAAGACAATTATAGAAACCATTATTATCTTTGTAAATTCGTCTTTGCTGTATGAGCGAGATACGCAAAACCATAATTAAACTGAATGGTTCCCTGTTCAGATTTATTTGAACACTACTAAAATTCTCAATATGAGTGAAAGGATGTGTTGGAGGAAACTTAAATAACACAACACCCAATGATACCAACAAATACGACATCTAGAGGTCAGTGGCCAATAATGATCGAAAGACACAAATATTATATTTTTTTTTATTTTTTTTTTATGGTATACGAAATGTAATTTTGTAATTATCAAAACAAACACTTTCTTGAATGATCAGCCAAACAATTTAGTGTATAACAAGATCGCTGTATGGAACCTACAACGGTATACGCAAGTTTTGATCGTCTCAACATGTAGGGCCAAGGTAAAGACGGTTAAACATCACACAAGTTCACTGTATGCAACGACTTACATGTTTGGATTGATTCAACATGTCTGCGCCAAGGTCAAGACAGTTCACAATCACTGATATTAACATTTCTCATAGGGCGTAGATATGGCGGATAGATCGAAACATACGTATACCGGTGTGGATTCCATACAGTAACAATGGATATATATTTTTTTCTGGTATTATGGATACTATTGTTGGTTTGGTTGTGTTGTTATACCTCTTTCTGATAGCAGATTGGCCGATATGTGGAATTCCCTGTATTCGTACCTTGCTGGCAAAAGGAAATTATTCCTCCAAAAAGAATTTCGTATAAAAATCGTTGGAAAATGTTTGTACTTAAAGTATCTTTACTTACATTTCATGTCTGCTTGGTGGTCCTCTTCTGTCTTCATATACAGGTCGCCAACTTTGAGAATAATGTATCAAAGGATCTGGCATAGAATTGTACATGGCGTTATTTGATCTTCGTCCGCCATATGAAAATGTCATCTGTCTCTTTGGTCGGAGAGCTTCGGCTGGCAGTGGTGGGGCGAGACTAGAATACATAGTATTCATTATATTCTGAGCGATGTCTTTATCTGTAATTAAAACAAATGAATAACTCACTACACAAGTCTTTGTATGGAATACACAATTAAAGATCAATTTGTTTTGCGATTTACATTTAAAACTGTTACATGTTACTAATCCGATTCGATCAAAGATTAGTATTACTCCATAGCAATTGTACTTAACTACTACTAAGTATAATAAAGGGATTGCTTAAATAGGAAAACAAAAACTTTCATTTGCTTGCAATGCATTTTTTAAATTTCAATTTAAAAAGATAATTATAAACGTCCGAATTTTAACAATTTGTGAAATGATTTGCAGCCAATTGAAATTTAGAAAGTTGTTTCTACAAAACTAATGTTAACAGTGTGGCGTAAATAATAGAAAGATATGTGTGTTCTCTATCGTTACGTCCTTGATCCATGTTACCGATTAAAGGACGTATGAATTGATACAAAATGAAACTAGAGTCTCCATACAGCTAGTGTTGCTCACCTGCATCTTCAACAATGGCCACATTTGAGTAAAAATCAGCATTAAAAGGGAACAATTCTATTAAGAGTTTTAAACTGACAAATTCAGTAATGTTGATATATTTGTAGATCTTATCCTGCTGATATATTCCTTTTTAAAGTTTCTAATTATCTATTATAGTTTTCAAGATAATAGGCAAAAACTGCAAAAAAAGTGTTAAAAATTATCATTAAAGGGCAATAAGTCCAAAACGAGTCAACTGAAGATTTTGGCCATTTTTAGATCTTGTCTTGTTGACCATTTGTGCTATTTAAAGTTTCTATCTATCTATCACAGTTTTCAAGATAAAAGGCATTAATAGGAAAAATCATCATTAAAGGACAGCTTGTATTGTTTTTACCTATCTATTAAAGTTAAGTTATTATGCAAAAACGCAAAAATAAATGGTAAAAAACGTCATTAAAGGACAATAAGTCTAATAAAGAGTCGTCTTACGATTTTGATCCTGTTAAATTTATTTATAGATCTTGTCTTGCTGATCATTTTTGCTTTTTTAAAGTTTCTCTCTATCTATCAAAGTTTTCAAAATAAAAGGCGAAAATTTTTTAAAATAGTAAAATTCGTCATTTAAGGGCAATAACTCCTATAAGAAGTCGTCTGACAGTTTTGACTTTAATAGACAAAAGGTAGAGCTCAACATTCTGAAGATTTTTGCCCTGTCAGATTTTCTCTATATATAGCGGTTTTCAAAATAATAGGCAAAACTTGCATTTTATCCCTGTGTTCTACTTTTAGCCACGTCGGCCATCTTGGTTGGCAAGCAGGGTCATCGAACACATATTTAAAACTAAATACCCTATTGATGAGTGTGGCCAAGTTTGGTTAGATTTGGCCCAGTAGTTTCAGGAGAATATATTAGTAAATGTTAACAGACGACGACGGACGACGACGACGGACGACGACTACGACGGACGACGTACGCAAAGTGATAAGAAAAACTCACTGGGACTTATGGCCAGGTGAGCTAAAAAGTATATGATTTAAAGTTTCTGGTAATGAAATTACAAAAATTGAGAAGGATAACAAATTCACTAAAGATCAATCAACTATCTGAAATTCAAATAACTATCTATCAAAACACTTTCAAAATTCCGTCTTGAACATTTTGTTAAATTTCAAATGGATACCTCCAACGTTAACAAGTTAAAATTATTAGTTCTCCTTATTTCTGTTCGTTCATTTACTTATCAATCAGTTCTTCAATTTCTAATACAATGTCTTTATGCACTGCCATTTAACTAGACATTAAGAAAAACGTAGTGCACCAGCCGTATTGAAAAACAATGTGCTGCAGAAGAGTTTTTTTTTATACCATTTTCCAATAGAAATATGTAAAAATACCACACAGAACATTTTCCAATAGAGATAAGTGGAAATACTTCAACAAAATAATACTTTGATATAATGATTTTGTAAACAGAAGAAGTGCGTAGACTAAAGTGAAACAAAAATGTGTAACCACCAACAACAATGCTCATATTTTTACCTAGATCTATACCTAAATTTACAAAAGAAAATAATTTAAAATCTTTGGTTTTCTATGTTGTGTTTTGTGAACTGTTGTTTGTCTGTTTGTCTGTTTGTCTGTTTCTTTTTAGCCGTGGCATTGTCAGTTTATTTTCGACTTATGAGTTTGAATGTACCTTTGGTATCCTTCGCCTCTCTTTTAAAACAAAGAAATCCAATGAAACATGCGATATCATCAAGACGGAGAATTGAATGAGACCAAAATAATACATATATAACACATATATCTTTCTAGTAAAGTCAGGTATTCTTGTTTAAATATAGACAGTGTTTCTAGAAATTATATAATCAAGAGTCGAAAATCTTTGTCCTCAATTAATAATATCATGATGGTTAATGAATAAATTATTTAAAGAAATGGGATATATATTTTCTTTTTAAATTCGAAATGAAAGTTAAAGTTTAAGATTGAATTTGTCAGTTAATAGGTTGTAAACTTCAATGTTTAATTATCCGTAAAGTTGCAGATACTATTATTCATCAACAAAACACTACTAGAATTGTGATACAGTTGTTAATCCCTCAAGTAATAATATGGAAAATTTCTGATCATATTTGAACGATTAAGAAGTAGCTTTATGAACATTTACATGTTATATTCTATTTTCAATAAAGTTGAAAGAAAAGAAAGACAAAAATATATTCTTTATCACAGTTTTCATGGAATGATTTCATAAATATTGCATAATGCTGAAGTATTGTAACTTGCTTTCGTTGAATATCAATATTTGTAGGATTTAATTGCAGCTTGATTAACTAATAAAAACTAATAAGAGACTAAGTTTCCAATTACATCAGACAAAGTTTACCTTGACTGAATTTGGCTATTCAGTTAAGTTACCCTTTGGTCATATAACTAAGCTTCTAACTTTTTAAAGTTTTTATACATTCTGTTTTTCACATGTTTTGTTTGAGCGTTCCTGATGACGGTTAATCCAAAAAAAAAAACGATTAGGGCGCACGAAATTTATTTAATATTATTTTCAATTTCTTGTTTACTAGAAAAGAAAGTAAAAACTGTATTCACTATCATGAGTTCAAGGAACGATTTCAAAAATATTCCATATGGCTGATGTATTGTAATTTGCCTTCTAATTGAATATTAAATATCCCGTTTTTGTAAAGCATTGCGGTGTCATATACTAGTATTCTGTATTCGTATGTAAACGCTGCTGAATAAATGATTGAAATTATCCGACCCGACAGTTGTCAGACTACAGAAAATCATAACAAAATATTACTGAATATTACGAAAATGTTTACTTCATATCAATATTTGTATTTGATTGTTATGTATGCATAGGAATTGTAGCACATTTCATTTAGAAATCTGTCGAACATAACAGTGATAAATTTTTGTATCAACAGCCAATTAAAACGAGACCTACCATTTAAGCGTTTACACAATTTTGATGACATTCCTTTTACGAAGGAAGCGAAAGGTATAACTAACGTTTTGCTGTTCTCTTGGCAACGTCAGAATTAAAAAGGTACTGTCATCTCGACTGATATCAAATGAAATCTGGCAAAAGTGAGTCAAAGAGAAAACTAACACAAGAAAAGCACTGCAATAACGGAGAGAAATGACAGATAGAAAATCGTGCTTCCGAAGCGCTTTTCTTGGTTTACCCTCATCAGGTACACTCAACCACAAGACTCTAAAAGCCAAGGGTGTATAAAAACAGTTAACACACGAAGAACTTTACGACCAAAGTTAGGAACTGTAACAACAGTGCGACATGGATCATATCAAAACCTCCAATGTCCACATTTTGAAGAAATAGAAGTGGGTTATTTCATTATGAATTTCCGACTTATTGAAATAAAAGTATAATTAATAAAGACTAAAATATTAAAGGTGAATGTAAAATATATTCTAATGAAATGATGCTGATTCAAATGGGACAGCCCGAAAATCATTACAGAATTAAATCTATTTTTCAAGATTTTGAAGTCTATTTATAGCAAACATTTTACTTACCGTATTCGTTTGAAGAATTAACCCAAGATTTTAACTCAGGAACATATGTCATAGGAGGTCCACGTGTTATGTCCTACAAAAGATTAATAGAAAGGCATCAACTATCGAACAGTTACGTATCTATCTTTATAATTGAGTATCACATCTTACTGGAACAAAAATCAAGTCTTGTTGACAGTTAATTGGCAATTTCAAACATGAACCTCAATATACTTTCATAAGTTTATGAGTAAAATGATTAGTTAGTACGTCTTCTTAATTAATGATGAATTATCAGAATCACTTCGAATACCGTTTTGAGCTATACCAATGAAAAACATTCTAAAAGTATTTTCACCAAATCATATTCCTCGTACTTAAATCATGAACAGAAAATGATTTTGTTTAATATAAACTAGATGCATTTTGTGTTCTTCCATGTTTGCTATCTTAATAAAAAAAAAGTGTTTTCACTGCTTAAATTAATATTGTGCAGTAAAATCTTTCTGTAGTTCGACAGAATGAAATAAATAGTCTTTTATATAAAAACAAATCGACACTGAAATATGAAAGAAAAGAAAATCATCTTTCTTTTCGGCAAATTGCGTTCTAAAAATTGACAAAAATTGAATTTAATGAAATGAAATAGCTGGTTTTTTCTCCTGAATTGTTTCCCAAATTAATTTCCAAGGGTCTACCGAATCTGCAACTCCAATATTTCATACAGATACGAAGAAGTACACATGCACATGTATTATCTTTTGTATCCAAAATCTAAAAAATACTATTAATTTAAATGTGGGACTGACCCAACATTGAAACATTTGAAAGAAATATATAGTTATTATTTTTCCCTCTGTAGCCTAATAACGCCTAGGCTATTCTTCAATTGCGGATATGTAAATTGAGGCAACATAAATTTACCGATGTTCAAATCTCATAAATCGAATCAGAAAATATAAATCAAGGCTGCAAACAAACAGACTTAAAAATGAAACGTTTATTATATTGGTTAATTGAATCAATTAGATGGTAAATAGTATACAAAGCAAGTCACACGAGTTAATTTTCAGTTTCCCACTATCAACTTTAAATTGATGATTTAACAAAACCGATATCATTCATTAACCTACCGTTAGCATAAATGGCTCATCTCCAGTACTTATTATACCGTCATCCATGTCAAAAAATTATGAAAAATATTCCCTTTTAAGAAATATTTTATCATGCATCTTAAGTAGGTAGACTTGATTAAATGCACAGTTCTTTATATCCACCGTAGTTCACAAATGTGATATTCCATTCAATCTCATTTAAGCGTTTGTTATTTAGGTCTTGAACAATTGATACGATAACCCTTTAAAAGGACCTTTGTCTTCCGGGTCATCGGAGATATAGTAATTTAATTATCCTGACGAGCTTAGTACAATGATCTCGTTCATAGTGACATAAAGAATATATCTATCAATATTATAAAAATCCGACTTATTTTCGTTCAATTATTCTTGTACTTTTAATTTTGTATTGTAACTGAAATTTGAGCGCATAGATACGAGCCTTACAATGAAAAATTCAAACTTCACCTATTTTTCTTATCATAACCGGAAACACGTGCAATAAAACTTAAATGCAAATCCCTCCATGTTGAACTCCAAGGTCGGAAATGAATGATGACGAGTTATAACACACATATGTAAATCAAACCAGTCTCAGTCTCAGAACGACTGAAAACGACACTACACAAGTTTAAAGGTAACCATTATTGGTTCACCGATACGACGTATCTGTGTCTCAACCCACGATATACATATTTTCGCGGTCTTAGATCTATCGATACCAGAAAAGTCGTCTGATTTGTAAATTTACCAATTGTAACTTATTTATAAAGATTGAGTTTGCATAATTTGACGGGAGTAAGACACCCAGAGTTAATATAATATAACTATAATCTTTAAAACAAAAATTAGCGATGGAATTTATGTCGTTTGGACACGTCTCGTTCTACATATTAATATACTGTGCATGGAATTAAATGGTTGCCAAATATCGTATATCAACTTCTAAACATCGTAATGTACAAAAAACAGACTAATATGCAAAACTGTATGCGAGATGTAAATAATTTAAGATAAAACAATGCTTCTCAATTACTGATAAATAAATAAGAACTCGTGGCAATCAATGTTATCGTTAATCATTTATTACATTATACAGTAATGAACAGTATAAATCTGAGTTAAGGTACACTTAAATTATTCAACTAGTTGTATATTATATTTTAGAAATAATATCTTTAAACTTTATTCAGGCTTGAAATTTGATCCGGCCAATTATGACAATTTGATGAAAAAACAATAAAAGGTCATATCAATATACATTTTAAGATATTTCTGTATATTGGTCACCATGTTTTATCCACATTCTGCCATAATGTCTTATGGAAACTTGATAAGAACTAAGGTAGGAACTCTCTATTATTTTGATTTAATAGTTTTGAAAATGGTTAGTTTATTTTGTTTTTATTTTGTTTTTATTTTCATTTTTTTCTGTTTTGATTATTGAAAACTTTACTTTTATGTATATCTATCTACCTCCATATATACTGTGAAACTTTATTTCACATTTTAAAAGAGTAATGAGTTGTAGTTAAAACAAATGTGTATAATTCAAGCTTTTCACGTGTATAGTTCGTGATGCGCTTCAAAAATGCTGTCTGGTAAACATATTGAGCAGTAACATAAAGTTTCATCAATTTACATTTTTTATTCCTAATCAGTCATGTTAGTTGTATTTGGCGTTTTTATATCATTATCTGTCAATGTTGTTGCAACCACATACATACGACATGATCTTGAATGTATCCCACACATTTCGTTCAAAAAATGGATCTATATGTATGATTCTAATGATTTTTATAATCTTTTATAATCTAATATGAAAAGTAAAACGAAAACGTACAGCCGTGTCATAAGTTCCATGCTCATGATGAATTTTAAGTCGCAATCATGACTTGGCTGACGGTTACTGCCACTAAACAACAAACGTTCATTCTATCGTACTTCTTTCCCCATTGACCAGTGTTCTTCATTTTAAATCATTAGCATGCTAATTTCTATTACCCGTTTACCCTTTAAGTGATTGATGTATAAAAGGAGCCGCTTACCCTGTAGACTCACCCGGTCTCGCTCCTTTTAGAGTCCAGGTGATTCCCTCAGTTTCTGTTTGTTACCTTGATTTGTCTCTTCCTAATGGATTTACGAGATTTTAACATCGGAAAACTACTGTCGCCTCAATTTAACCAGTATTTTTTTTGGACATTTTCTTTAGAAAACTTTGTCCTTTGTCTCATATTACTTTTATTTCAATATATACAAATGAATTTAAAACCGATGCAGTGCAATTTCTATAAGGACATTTGAAAAGTATATACTTTTAATGCTGCACACGGTTATAAAGCGTTATTGATGTTTATGAAATAGTTTTGTTTTAAAGGAAGCGTACTAAGTGACAATGAAATACATCCCTTACAGAACAGCAAATAAAACTGTAATTTTTACATCTGTTCCAGTAGGATTTACATAAACCTATAACATAAATTATATGTATTCTTTGTATAGGCTCTATGCACATCAGAAAATGGCCAATTGAAGGAAAAAGACTGCATATTGTATATAGATAAAGTACTTGATTTTTAGACATTGCTGATAGTTGATATCAGAACGTGACTATATCGGTTTTAATATCCCGTCCATCATTGATAAAAATATATATTTTCTCACAACTGACATTGAGTAATTGTGAGTTTCTTTTCAGTATTATATAAAATAATGACACGTTTATATAGTATTTAGTGCATGTCTTTGAAATCCGATTACATAATAGGTTTCAAATCCGTTTCAATATCTGATATTTGATTTGATAAAGTACTGGCAATCACCCCTTATGACATTGATACAGATTTACTGTCGATTGTAACCACTTACGTTGTACATTTTCCAGAACATATGCTTATCCATTTGCAACACGTCTAGACATCAGTCGGTGATTCGGTAAAAGTATTCATAAAAGTATGCTCCTCTCAATTTTTTAAATGAGTGCAGCAGTTCAAAAAGTGCAATACGTGTTGGTTGTGATTTTTCAAAATATCTGTTAATTAATAATTGCTTAGGCAATGCAGAAGTCCTTTGTTAGTAAATGTTTTGTTGATTTACTTAAATGGTTTGTGTATGTTGAATCAAAAACTTTTGGCGCCTGGGGTTCTTGAAGGAAATTATATTACATGTTTTATTGATATTGGCAAAATCATCACTAAAATGTTTTAATTGTTTTGGTAAAATGAACTGGACAGTTAAGTTTTTTTCTAGAAACAAGAGATAAACCTATCCTTCTCTTTTGTGCACACCTTAATTGAAGGGAATTAAATAAGAAAAAAAAATTCTTTCTTGAAATACAACTGAAAGAGTTTTACAATATTGTAATAACGGGTACAATCACAACTATCTCTACCCTCTATATAATTCTTTTTTTTAATGTTTCGTGTCCTACAGTCGTTTCAATTAAATGGGTTAAAGTGTTATGAGATATTTGCTATATAGGTCAGTTAATTATTTCCTTTTTACTGAAATCTGAGTTTTCACGAAGCATTGATCTCAACTACACGATGACTAGAGCTATATCAATTATTCAAAATATATAGTTACAAGTTTAATCAGTTTCCTCCGCTAAATCAGACAGACTACAGTAATTGCCGGTAAATGATTTCTGTGAACGATTGAAAACTAAATTACCTTTCAATATGTGTTGTCATTAAAATATCTATTTTCCTTAATATTTCTATGGGATCATTTTTATCTTATCATTTGTTCCTATCTCAATGTTGACATTTATTTATGATGACATTTATATAGAAATCTAATTTTCAGACAATAAAAAAATGTTGTAATGTACTTTTGTTTTGCTTGTTTTGTTTTTTTTTTCAAACTTGATTTACGTGATTTCAACGTTTGTAATCTACTGATGCCTTTTAATTCTATTTGTAATTTCAAAAGATGCGCATTTGTTTATGCCTGTACATGCAAGTTATAAAAATCTGCAACTATGATAATAAAATTAGTTTGCAGAATGCATTTTATTTATCCAAAATATCTTATAAAATACAGACATTATTTCGATCTTGAAATTACTGATTAATATTTCCAACGCATGTTTTTTTCATATACATGTATTAATACATGTACTTGTTTGAACAGATTATTACCAAAACATGTGACAGAAAGGATTTGATTCTGTTACAATAAAATGTATTAAAGTACTCATAAAACGGATAATTAACTTGACATATGCAACAATTGCTTGTTCCTTTGGTGTTCCCAACTCTTTTTTTAAATATTTTATAATGTAAGTAATAAAAGTGGGGTATCAAAGTCTTACTGGAATTCATACATATGATATAACGTGTGTCCCTCGATACATGAAATGAAGTTAAAACATTTAATATATTTACATCGACCTGATGTGGAAGTACATGTACCTTCCATGGGAAATCTTATAGAAAAAAAGTCATCAAAGATACCTGCAGAATAAATTTATGATTACCAAAGCGTTCGTTTCGTCTACACAAGTCTCGTCAGTATCGCTTATATAAAAACAGTTAAAAGGCCGAATCCGTATCAAAATAGAAGAGCAACGAACACATACAATTCCAAAACGATGTGCCAACTCTATCTTAGTGCATCTGTGTCTGGGGGTAGAAAACCCTTTATGTTTCAAAAGATTCAATTAACATTAAATTTAGTGAAAACAACCGCATCAATGGTATTTCATTTCGGTTCCTTGCTGACTAATGGGCTGATATAGAAAATAATCTATTGAGCGAGAACGTATGTGTGAACGTTTTCTATGAATATTATGCTCCCTCGGTATTTTTCCCTTGATTTGTATCTGCTTAATCGATTTATAAATGAGATTTGAACATCGGTAAACTACTGTTGTCTAAATTAAAGAGCTTACCTCGTTGTCTCCAAAAGCATAACCCGGAATGGTACTACTAGGTCGATCTTCTATATCGTCACCTGGTACTCCACCGTAAGGTGTCAGAGCTCTATGTATACCCAGTGATGTATGGGGTCTTTGCGGTGGTTCCTCCTTTGGTTTAGGCTCTGGCCAACACAACCAATGGTAATCCTTAGGCTTGTCAGTTATTGCGTCTGGTACTGGTGTAGCTACCGTTGGTATTTCGTCTGGAAAATAAAAATGATATTTAAGGATTACTTCTTTAATATAAATATTCAGCTTGCGTCTTAATAGTGTTGTAAGCAAGAATCACTTCGCAATCCAATCTTGCTGGGAAATTTATAAATTGTTCTTCCACTAGCTCGAAGTATCGAATAACAGCATGGTACAGATTGACTTTGAGTTGTCGCATGGGGTTTTTGTACCATCTCTATCAAGGTATTCGACGTATTTGCAATAGTTCTTAGAAAGATTATATCAAAGTGTTTGCATTTTGATTTACATTGGTAGTAGATATTAAATCAATTTATTTCTAAAATTGTGGTGACAAGCAAGGTTCGTCAATTTAACCTCATTTCATATGGATATAGACTCATGATATTTAGCTGTCAAACTATTTTTGCGCAAACATAGTCTTTCAAATCTATTTTACGCGATGAGTGGACTAAATAAAATACTTCAAAGTATGGTTTAAATTTCTTATTGTTTGACAGGTGTGAGATATTAACAATTACAGGGGATAATAAGATTTTTGAAAGGTATATTCGTTGCATAGAACATCACAAACAAGACATTTAAACAGTATTAACCACTACTTTGGTAAAAAAAAGATTTTAGATAAAATGATTTAAAAGGTTAAAAAGTGATTAAAAGATTTACCCGATGAATTTTATACAAATATTTAAAATTGAAAGGCAATTAAACTGCAATGAATTTAACGTTATTCCAATCACTGTTCAATCATCTAGGGAGAATAAGATCATTTTGATCCATTGTTAAATGCGTTTCCATTTAAAAAAAAACACACGTCCTTTATTTCAAGATTCATTGAGGTTATTTTGATACAAATCTCTTTCTGTATACTCCACTATAAGGAATGCAAGCATCCATGTATCTTTTTAAAATGATTGAATATTGAGTATCTGGTTTCTCAGTGATAAACCATAAAAAATGCTCATAGTAGAAAGTTCTTTTAAACATGCCAATATTTTGAATACCAGGACAACCGTAGGTAGCTTTATGTCAGACTTTATTAATGAACAACTGCAGTTAGTCCTTATACATTTTCCTGTGTTAAATAATAAACAATTAAACATGAGCATCTGACTGTATTGTAATTATAACAATTTTAAATAAATTTTCTTCGTGTATTTCTGAATATATTAGATGAAACAGGTCAATTTCGTTATCACTCTAATTGGCGTGTTTTGTTAATTTTTTCTAAACTCTGAAGTCGATTTTATATATTAATTCGTGTAGGAAAGGTACTAATTCTGACTCGGTGTATAAACAATATGTTATCAAATGAGTACAAAAGGTGAAAGTATTCAATGAAGGTTTGTTTTTTAGAAACATGTGCTGTGGGGACTGAAATCGATAAAGTATGTTTACATATTGTAGAGATTTCATATACTAGCATTGTCGCACAAGTTGACTGCCATAATCTTCATTTTATACAGATATTATATCTTTACACATTGATAGATTTTACTAATCCTGACTTAGTATAGATATAATGTTTGTGACTTAGGTAAACTCTGATAATCCGGACTTGTCTAAGACATTATATCTTGTCACATTGGGATATTGTTATAATCCTGACTTGGTGCAGATATCATTTTTGTAACTAAGGTAGACTGTCATAATCTTTGTACAGACATATTAATCTTGTCACATATAACTATTCATGGTCGATCATTACTTAATATTTCTTTAGATAGAACTTTCTTATACTTTGTCAACATGTAGATATTACCTTTTTTTCAAATACCATTCATTAAAACACACTTTTTTATGAATAGAAAGAAATCTATCGTGTAGAATTTTGAAATAAAATATGAGAAGATATATTGTGTTATATGATTTAAAAAAATAAAATAAAAGATGGTGTCACCGAATTTGTTTTCTGTCTACAAGAAAAAAAATGAAAATTAACAATGATCTATAAAAAAAGTATAAGAGTTATCTCCCTTTATATGGATAAGTTGAAAAATAAAAAATCGAACATAAAAATATATTTTGTATTTGCAAAAATAGTCTTAATCATACGATAAATCACTTAGTATTTATTCCTTATTCACATAAACATTCGATTTCAGAATTTGCAGATTCCAGCAACGACTTAGACCGATTGTGTACTGCTATTTTACAATCCAAGACGGCGATATACAATTAATCTACCTTAAATGTTGTATCATTTATTCCTTCAATATACACCTTTTCAATATGGTAGGATTCATTATCAGTGTAAAAATTTAAATAGTAGCGATACTGGACTAAATCTAAAACGCACATTTTTACATTTGAAGAATATAAAGAAGGTAAAACCGAAAATATGAATGTACACTATATTGCAAATACAAAATTATCCTAAGTGAAACTCTCGAAACCATCTTCTGTTATCTATCATTTAAACTGTTCCATATAGTAGTATAAAAATGTAGTTCCATGAAATATATTCTACACTAAATGTATCGACTTATTCGTCCGTGTACACACATGGTATGAAATGTATAGGAACAATAAAAAGTCGAGAAGATGAAACATCTGGCAAAAATCATCAACACTTTAAATTTTGATTTCTATTTCGGTGAGTGGTCCCAGGACTTTAATTCAAAGGTGTATTTCAAACGGGAAAGTTGGCTTCAATTTGCTAAAAAGTACCCAATTTCTCTATGGCAAATTTTGAGAAACTTAATACTTTTATTACCCAATAGAGGGCTCATATGGGGCATACAACATAGCTGATAGTGCATGTATAAACACGATTACAGTAAACAATACAAACAGAAACTTTATGATATTCTTGTAAAGTAGTTTCAACAATGACCACATGAATAGAGAAATAAATGTCCAGCTTGTCAATGAGCAGCACACACCAAGTATAGATATTTAATAGGCCAACGTCATACAAGCAGTGATTCCGGATAAACTCTTACTTATTCGTTCTTAAAACAAATAGGTTAATTTAGCTTTGCATAATAGTTTAAATCTTAATAGACTTAACATTAAGTACTAATCACCATCAAATAGTTTAACATTGAACATTCCTTACATAGAATTCTATTCTGTTTAGAAAAAAATCTTTTTGATATATTTACTGTTATAAAAATCAATTGTAAGCATTTGCAGTTTTAGAAGTCTTTTGTTTCAAAAATTGATTTTATGTACACAAATAAAATGTAAGCAGAAAATGTCTGAAATATTCTATAATACTATTCAAGTGGTAAAGAATGATCAACATTAGTTGTCGGCTCATTTAAAATTCATTGATTGGTTAAGGTTTTTAAGTTCAAGTTTTAATACTGAGAGAAACAATTTGCAATTTAAAATATAGTTGTTATTCCTGGAACAAATAAAAAAAAATATTAAAGGTACAATTCTTTTGAAAGATTATACTTTTATCTGCATCGAAAACGATCTAGATTAGCGATCAAAATTTATCAGATCAATTTTCGCACAGGTCAATGTGAACTTAATGAGAAAAAAAAATCAAAAAAAATTGAAAAGTAGGTCAATTGTTTTTTTTTTCATATATTTCACCAAAGTTACATCCTGCAATATTGAAAAAAAGAATGAGGTTTATCGATGTCAGTTGAAATATCGTAAAGATTATCGATGTCAGTTCTAATACTGGTTTCATGCTTCAACAGATAGACTCGAAGTAAAAAGTAAAATTAGTTATATACAGACAAATATGGGAGTGATAAAACATGAATTGTGTTGACTCTAAACGGATTAAGGCCAAGTTTGTCAACAACAACATTCGCACATTTGATTGCATCACCAGGGGCGGTCTCAGGTGCTCAGAAAGAGTAACAATAGTGGACATGTGTTACTCTATGACATAGTCTATATCTAATACGTTGAGAAACTAAGTGCCATTTAATAACGGTTTTTATAGAATTTTTGAAATGATAAGTTTAGTTGTTCGTCGTCTTAACGGTGTTGAGTTGAGAGTATACATATATGATGATAATAACCCCATACTTCCAACATGTGGTATCAACTGAAAGGAGTGTATGTCTAAGGCTTAGGTAGATGGTATGTTCCTATTGTCAATGGGAAGTTGACGATAGTGATGGTGAAACAATCACGTCTTTCATCGATCTACAGATAGGTATGACATACAACTTTATTTTTTGATGTATGTGAAGCATGAGTAAAAAGCAATTATCCTTAAGGAACTGTTTTTATTAGGTATTTTCGTTTCGCTTTCGTTGAAAAAGTTTTGACCTAAGAATTGCTGCTATTTTGCCTCAAATCATTTGTTCAAAATTTGTGTTTTTGTTCAAAATCAGAGTAGGTTGAAATTTGCATTTTAAACGTTTAAATGGCCAGTGTGGTTCATTGATATGATCGTTAAAGCAATAAAAAGATTCAAAATTCTTGATATGATCAGAAAAAAAGATATTTGATGTGCAATCAGTAGTTAAAGCTTAATCACAGACCATAAAACCATAAATGACAAGTTGAAGTGAATTACCTGATAAATTCTATATGTGTAAGGGATGTTAAAATTAACTATGTTTTCATAATCTTATAGACTAAATTACATTTTTTTTTTATTTTATTTTTTTTCCATATGTGTTAATGAGTTATCATTTAATATGTACTGAGACATAATTTCGTTTGTTTAGCCATGATTGTGATCCATGGCATTTATAATTTACCTTCAATATTGTTTTGTGTCATCCATATAAACTGATAAACACATTCTTGATAAAAAAAAACAATGACCAAAAGCATTATACAAAAATGGACACAGACAACTTCAAACGACCTTTAGTAAGCAATCCCATATAACCCGCACCCCTTTCAAAGTGGAACAGTTTATAGTGTGACATGATGGCATAGTTTTTTTCTGATTACTTTCAGGTATGATTTATCTTTAATGATGAAAGATAATAATATTGTCTTACACAAATCCTTTTTTAAACCAAAGTGATTTTAAAAATCAATGGGGACTTTCCTCTTAAATATCCAAGTATGGTTGCAAAGGCATAAT